AAACTTTATCCGAGAGGGGAGGGGTGGCCTTAAAGTCTTCCTTTCCTTGCTCATAGGCACTGTAGCCACTCCTACACCAGATTCTCGCTTCCTCTTAACACTGAACAAGAAAAAAAATTATAATCCATTCCGTCTGGGCGATGGCGTCGTTTGATTACAGAAATTGTTTACAGCGGGACCTCCTGGACCTACCAAACATTACTTCTTTAAAACATGTTACGCCACGTAAAAAGGTTAAAACCCTTTCCCGCCACATTTATTTCCTTTTCTCCGGTTCTTTAAAATTTAAATGTCGATAGTGGTCAAACAGAAGTATTAACTTACTCTCTCCCCCCCCCCCTCCCCCTTCCCCCGCAACCTGGGGAGGAAACCCAGGGTATTTTACTTGCTGATGTACGCAGAAAGGCGGGAATATTTGATAACAGTGATAATATTGCTGTTGGGGTGGAGAAGTTGATGGCATGTGGGATTAGAATTCGAACAGGATTGAAACGAACTGTCTCAATTAGGGTTAGTTACCTTTCGTAATATTACGGCAGGAGAAGGCTTGCAAATTTTAGTACATTTGTCACCACTCGGTTGCCAAGCAAGTCCCATTGGTAAAGTCATGTGACGGGACATCTTCGACGATAAAAATGCACACAGTGTGAGCCTCGTTTAAAGGTCACTCGCGAGGCACATCCGGTAGTGTTCGGAGAAAAAGAGGAAGTCTCAGACTAACGTTTCATCAGTCTACAACATCAGGGTAAGGTCTTTTCGTGAGCTTTTTGTTATTTTGTCCAGAGAAATGTATTAGATTTATGTGACCCCTAATATACTTAAAATTCCCCACCTAGTTTTTCAATTTTCCTGTATGGCTGCATTTTGGGAGCTATTTCTGCAAGCACCTCTCACTTTTGCTGACGTAATTTTAAAACAAAAGAAGGGAAAAATCCCATAGGTTGAACTTTCTCGCTTACATTAGGTTTGTCAAAGTCCTGTTGCTTTGTGAAGGAAAATGCAATTGACTTTTATACGTAAATTTGTCTTATAAAATATGAGTTCCTCGTAGACCCTTTCGTCGGGAAAAATCAAGCCAACTATTAAAATTATTCGAGGATTTACAACTGAGGTAGGCATTTTAAAATGCATTAGCTGCAGTTACACTAGAACTCAGTATCCAAAGGTCCCTTTGCTTAAGAAATTCCTTTGGATTTTAATCGTTCTTTGGTAAACTTTCTGGCGCAGATACGTCATAGGAGTGTTTTAGGGCTCAGCTATCATCGCGACAGCCTACGAACGCACACGAAATTCCGACTGCAAGCGACAACCAGAATTACGTCTGCGTTCACGGACTACGATCGCCACGATCGTTACTATCGTTCAGATCGCAGGACGCTTTTCAGCGGTCGTACCCCAAGATCGCACCGATCATGAAACAAGATTTTTGTTTAGCCCCGTATATTTATTATACATGCATGTTTAGACTATTCATTGCGTTACAGTGGCCGTTTTTATACTAAGGACGCATTATCCGTCTGGACAACTTGGGCAAACATTTTGTAGTTCGTCTGGGTTAGGCCTGTTTTAAACGTCGTACTACTGCCGTGCTAAGCTGGCTCGACTGTAGCTCGACTGCAGCACGACACTAGCACGACTTGGTTTGAGACGTCGAATTTAATTCAGTCGAATAGAAGGGCTGTTGCCGAAAACAAAACACAAAAATAAAGAAACGGTTTAGCAAAATTTTATATGTATTCTAATGTATTTATAATTTATGAATTGAGTTCGGCACGGCGGTAGCACGACGTTTGAAACCAAGTCGAGCTACTGCCGTGCTAAAGTCGAATTTAATTCGATCACTTGAGTTCGGCACGGCAGTAGCACGACGTTTGAAACAGGCCTTGGCTTTAGTATAAAGACAGGCACGAGACGCGTTATGCGTCCAGGCGCATAATGCGTCCTCTAGTGTAAAAACGGCCAATGTGAAATTTACATTACGACGTTACAATAAAAACAAGTAGATTTGTTGCCAGAAAAGTAGCATCAAATGGGGGTGCCGGAGGTCATTACAGGGTCTGCAGTTTACAATGTGATAATAGCCTTCGTTTGCCGCCGAATGCTTTCAGGATTTGCTCCCAGCGACTTTTCTCTGGGAACACCAAGGTTATCATTTTCTTTTGAAACCTATCGTGTAATCTCTCAAAACTCATCAAAAGCAGGTCATCTGAGCATGATACACTACTAACGGTTAGTGGATGTTTGGTGCGCTAGTCCCATAGATGGTCAAACACGTATTAAGTGGACACCCAGTAGCCCAAGTAGAAAAACGTTTATTTCTTAGTTACAGTAAAAATTACTCTCAGTTAGTGCAGTATCAGCTTAATAAGGTTTGACTGTAATAAAGTCAGAGACTGCCAAATCACCTGAAGTTGAAAACAGTTGAACCATTTACATAGTAAGCCTGTGACTATCACCTTTTTTTTTTTCAAAGGAGCGGGGCCATTAGTTCATTTCCATTAGAGGAAAAAGTTGGCCTTGGGGTGCGGGCCATTTTACAACTTTGGCAGTGAGCACTTGTCATATGCCCTGCTATGTCCCATCCAGGGAGGGGCGGGTGGGGGCCGTTGCGCTTGGGCTTACATTAACTGGTGTATTAGACTTAAGCGCGCGGCATATAGCAAATGAGGGATGCTTGATTTTTCAATTTAAATGATTGGAGCTCTCCTTTCCAATGGACAGTTTACTTTAAGTCAGTTAGCAAAATAGACTATTCACAGCCCTCTACTCTTCGTTTCAGATTAAGTTGCGAAGAAGGACAGGTCGTAAACAGTTTTTATTAACACTACAAAAGGACTTAGCACACCGGAGAGACTAGAAACGCAGCTTGAATCTTAGAGCGATTAAAAGTAAGCACACATTTCCTGCACTTACCAGGTTTTTTAAAAGGGGTAATATACATGCCTGTTTGGAGTAGTTATTATTTTTCAGTTTTTCTGTTAAACTGTAAAATTCGTCATGCATCTGCTTCTTGGAAGGAACTAATTCGAAAATCACTATGTTTGCCCATTTTCAGGAATATCACAGAAATCGTGAAAAGAATTGAGTTTAATGTATAGTTTTGGGGGACGCTGTCACAAAATTACAGACGTTTGTATGGATCTTTAACCATGTTTCAAGAGTCATAACTTGCTCCCTGTTCAACCTTAGAGCACCAAACTTGGTGAAATAACTAATCTCAACATGACCTTTTATATAGTGGTGTCAGTTTATCGATTAGTTTAAATTCGAAACTCGCCCCAGTTCCCTACGCAACTCCGAAATGGCCAACCATTGGGTTACCAAGAATGCAAGACGATGCTCATTAATATGATGTAGGTGGCAAACTAAACAATAAATGCAGCACTCTATTGTTTTCTCCTTTTAGCTCTTTTGTTTCAGCAAATCGCGAATATGCGCATATTTCATAGTGAACGTTCAAATACATACACTATTCAAAGCGCGCTCGCATTCAAATTTGCCGCTTCGATGATTATGAATAATTAATGATGCCCAGGTATTCTGTGCGATAGAGACCCTCACATTACATTTTCACTGTAGCAGTAGTGTTAATTTATCTGCTAACTTAATAGTTTTAGTCTTTTCACTGAAAGCTGAACAAATGACTAGAAAAGACATTTTTAGTAAACAATTTAAAAGCACCATGTTTAAGCAATGGCACGCCTGTTCTTTATTTACAAATTTCGTAATCAACTTAAACGATAATGTGCATTCAACAGCAGTTTTTTACTCTATTAGAGAAGGATGTTCTCCCTGCAAAATTTAAAAGGGATCTACCATACTTAAGCTTGATGATTCATTTCATTGCCTTACTAAAAGTGCACGACACCTGCTCCAACACACATCTTGAATTTCGATTAGCTCAGGCGTAATATCGCTATATAAGAAAAGGATAAATTTGTAAGGTATTGAAGGAACAATGTTTGTGGCAAGCTAAATGTAACTACAGGGTGCCCCAAAAGTTCGTTCCTCTACTTTATAAGTATATATTTCAGTACGATTGGACTTGGTCAGCAAATCATTTAAACAAAAGTTGTGTCTTTCAATCTAGTTCACTATTTTCGTATTTGTTGTGCCATCTGTTGACTCGAATATTCCATTTGTGTACTTCCACGTCAAAGGTGTGCGTGCGCGAGTATATTTTCCAGCCTCATATTTTTTGTATTTTATAGCCCGAATTACTCGAACTCCTTCCTGGTTTTTTGTGAATATCACGAAAGATAAACCCCCTTAACGCAAAAACGTTCAGCTACGTGAGAGCATAAGCATGTATACTTCGATTTGCTGGCTTATCTGTTGTAGAAACTGCTAAAAACTGGAAAAATCCGAATGTTGGGTGGTAAAATGATCATCGAGAAATGAAGGTTTTGAAGGCAAGAAACGAAGGGAGGACCAAGAGTCCTGAATAAAGCAGCTAAAATAGTTTTAAAGAAGGCTAGATACAAAAGACAGTATCAGTCCAGAGTGGGACTGATACTGGACTTGGCTTGCTAACAGTTTCAGTATACAGTATCTGCTGTATCCCACTCCATGTTGCAACGGCTATAGAATGTGATTAAAAAAAACCAACAACAACAACAACAAAAAGGGCATGCCAGTTACTGAAATCTGAATACATGTACTCGATAGAGAGATAAACATCCTCTTGAAATTTCATGTAAAAATAAAGTTTTTGGGTGTCCCAAAAGTTCGTTCCTCTAATTTCATGCACTATAACTTTTGGGACACCCTGTATATTAAAGTAGTATAAGTGATAAAAGATTTAAAACATGTAATTGTAATTAACGTAATATGAACTAATTGCTGGGTCCTAAAAAATATAAAGATCAGCTTGATAATATGAAATTCCATTTCATCCTCGGTTCACTTTTTGTTTCACTTTGCTTAATTTTCATTATCATACACAAATAGAAAGAAAGACAAAAAAATTGTTAATGATAAAATTACCCTTTTTTCAATAGAGTGAGAAAATAAGAGCCAACAAAAATTGTGACTGTAGGCTGAAAGAAATTTTACCATCAACTATAACCATTCTCTGGGAAATGGCTGAAAAAGGAAAAGGAGAAGCAAGTTGTAATCTTGGCAACGTCTCTGGCAGCCTTGGAGATTTCCGAAATTCCACAGACTATGGTGAAAGATCTTTGCAGGTTACCCAAGAAGTCGGTAAGACGGCAAATGAAGCAACAGCTTATGGTGATATTGGTGACGCCCATGTCAACCTTAGCGATTTTCAGAGAGCCATAGACTACATTGAACGACACCTCAAAATTGCCAGAGAAGCGCGAGACAGGGTAGGAGAAGGAAGAGCTTATGGTAATCTTGGCAACGCCTATGACAGTCTTGGAGATTTCCAGAAAGCCATAGACTACCATGAACGACACCTCAAAATTGCCAGAGAAGTGGCAGACAGGGCAGAAGAAGGGAAAGCGTACTGTAATCTTGGCAACGCATATGATAGTCTTGGAGATTTCCAGAAAGCTATAGACTACCATGAACAACACCTCAAAATTGCAAGAGAAGTGGAAGACAAGGCAGAAGAAGGAAAAGCGTACTGTAATCTTGGCAACGCATATGACAGTCTAGGAGATTTCCAAAAAGCCATAGACAACCATGAACGACACATCAAAATTGCCAGAGATCTGCTAGACAGGGCAGGAGAAGGAATAGCGTATGGTAATCTTGGCAATGCCTATCACAGTCTTGGATGTTTCCAGAAAGCCATGGACTACCATGAACGACATCTCAAAATCGCCAGAGAAGTGGCAGACAGGGCAGGAGAGGGAAGAGCGTACGGTAATCTTGGCAACGCTTATCACAGTCTCGGAGATTTCAAGATAGCCGTAGACTACCATGAGCAAGACCTCAAAATTGCCAGAGAAGAGAGAGACAGGGCAGGAGAAGGGAGAGCGTACTGTAATCTTGGCAACGCCTATCGCCGTCTTGGTGAATTCCAGAAAGCCATAGAATATCATGAAAGACACCTCAAAATGGCCAGAGAAGAGGGAGACAGGGAAGGAGAAGGAGACGCGTACGGTAACCTTGGCAGCGCCTATGACAGTCTTGGAGATTTTCAGAAAGCCATAGACTTCCACGAACGACACCTCAAAATTGCCAGAGAAGTGGGAGACAAGGTAGGAAAAAGAATTGCGTACGGTAATCTTGGAAACGCATATAACAGTCTTGGATGTTTCCAGAAAGCCATAGACTACCATGAACAACACCTCAAAATTGCCAAAGAAGTGGGAGACAGGGCAGCGGAAGGAAAAGTGTACAGTAATCTTGGCAACGCCTATGACGGTCTGGGAGATTTCCAGAAAGCCATAGGCTACCATGAACAAGACCTCAAAATTGCCAGAGAAGTGGGAGACAGGGCAGGAGAAGGAATAGCGTACGGTAATTTAGGCAAAGCCTATCACAGTCTAGGAGATTTCCAGAAGGCCATTGACTACCATGAAAGAGACCTTACAATTGCTAGAGAAGTAGGAGACAGAGCAGGAGAAGGAACAGCATGCGGTAATCTTGGCAGTGCCCATCGCAGTCTTGGACATTTCCGGAAAGCTATGGACTACCATGAAAAACACCTCAAAATTGCCAGGGAAGTGGGAGATAGGGCTGGAGAAGGAACGGCGCTGGGAAATTTTGGCATCGTCTATGACAGTCTTGGAGATTTCCAGAAAGTCATAGATTACCATGAACAACGCCTCAAAATTGACAGAGAAGTAGGAGACAGGGCAGGAGAAGGAGCAACGTACGGTAATCTTGGCAGTGCCCATTGCAGTCTTGGAAATTTCCAGAAAGCCATAGATTACCACGAAGGGCACCTCATAATTGCAAGAGAGGTGGGAGACAGGGCAGGAGAAGGAATAGCTTACAGTAATCTCGGCAACGCCTTTTANCCATGAACAACGCCTCAAAATTGACAGAGAAGTAGGAGACAGGGCAGGAGAAGGAGCAACGTACGGTAATCTTGGCAGTGCCCATTGCAGTCTTGGAAATTTCCAGAAAGCCATAGATTACCACGAAGGGCACCTCATAATTGCAAGAGAGGTGGGAGACAGGGCAGGAGAAGGAATAGCTTACAGTAATCTCGGCAACGCCTTTTACAGTCTGGGAGATTTCCAGAAAGCCATAGACTACCATAAACAACATCTCAAAATTGCCAGAGAAGTTGGAGACAGGGCAGGAGAAGGAAAAACGCACGGCAATCTCGGCAGTGCCTATGCCAGCCTTCTAGATTTCAAGACAGCCATAGACTACCATGAACTGCGCCTCAAAATTGCCAGAGAAGTAGGAGACAGGGCAGGAGAAGGAGCAACGTACTGTAATCTTGGCAACGCCTATGATAGTCCTGGAGATTACGAGAAAGCGATAGAGTACCATGAAAGCCACCTCAGTTTTGTCAGAGAAGTGGGAGACAGGGCAGGAGAGGGAAAAGCGTACTGTAACCTTGGCAACGCTTATCACGGTCTTGGAGACTTCCAGAAAGCCATAGACTATCATGAACGAGACCTCAAAATTTCAAAAGAAGTGGGAGACAGGACAGGAGAAGGAAAGGCGTACTGTAATCTTGGCAACGCCTATCACAGTCTCGGACATTCCCAGAAAGCCATTCACTATTACGAGAATAGTGTCACGGTGTTCGATCACATCAGGAGTATGCTCATATCTAATGACGAATGGAAGATTAGCCTGTGCAGTACGTATGATTACGTCAATTCAAAGCTATGGGAACTGTTATTGGAACAAGGCAAAGTCGTCGAGGCACTTTTAACCGCTGATCAAGGACGTGCCCAAGCTTTAAATGATCTACTGGAGTTCAAGTATGGATTTAAAGGGTTACGTCCAGAGATAGGAACACTGAATTTAACTACACCTGACATTCTTAGTTACCTGCCATCAAATACAGCTTTCATAGGGATAAAAGAGGGAGGAATAGTTCTCTGGGTAAACGAGAAAGGAAACGAAATCAAATCGAGAAGAAGGAAGACCGATGTTCCCGTCACGTCCTATTTCCAGTCTCTGTTGGACGTTACATATGAGAAACTTGGTGTAAGAGCCGATGTTACATGTGAAGATCGCTCATTAAGGAACCCAAGAGACGAAAAGGTAGCAGTTGAAAGATCTGGTGGGCCAAAGTCTCCTTCTTTGCTGTTCGAGCTAAATCCTTTGCAAATATTATATCATGTTGTCATAGACCCTATTAGAGACTTAATCCAGGGCGATGAAGTTGTGGTCGTCCCCCAAGGTCCTCTGTGTTTGGCACCTTATGCTGCTTTTATGGACTTACATTCGAATTACCTCTTTGAAACCCTTAGAATCCGACTTCTTCCCTCCCTTTCTAGTCTGCGATTAATCATCAACTGTCCAGCAGACTGGCACAGCAAGACTGGCGCCCTTCTCGTGGGCGATCCGTGGGTACAGGAGGTACGTTATCAAGGGACAAAGCTAGAGCAGTTGAAGTGGGCCGAAAAGGAAGTGGAAATGATTGGGGAAATACTCCAAACTGCGCCTCTCATCGGAAAGCAGGCAACAAAGGATGAAGTTTTAAGACGCATCTCCTCTGTTGCCTTAGTGCACATTGCCGCTCACGGTAAAATGGAAACAGGAGAAATTGCCTTAGCCCCAAACACAACGCGTTCATCCGTAAATCCAGCCAGGAAGGACTATCTCTTAACTATGAAAGATGTTTTGAAGGCGAAGATTAGGGCAAGACTTGTTGTACTTAGCTGTTGTCATAGTGCTCGGGGAGAGATCAAGGCTGAGGGCGTGGTTGGCATCGCACGAGCGTTTTTGGGTGCTGGTGCTCGTTCTGTTCTGGTGTCCTTGTGGGCGATTGACGACGAGGCTACTATGGAGTTCATGAAGTTTTTCTACAGACAACTAGTCAAGGGAGGAAGTGCCAGTGAGGCTTTGAATAAAGCCATGAAATCCATGAGAGAATCTTACCGCTTTAGTGCAGTGAAGTACTGGGCGCCGTTTGTTCTGATTGGTGACGACGTAACGCTTGACTTCGAGGGCATAAAATAGCTGGCAAGGTATGTTGGGCTGCACATATGCCTGGTTGTTTTTAAAAAGATTGTATATTGTAAAGGTTACCATAACATGCACTTAACCACACGTCATTTAAACCACCGAACGTTATGGTTGTTTTTAATTACAGTCGAACGTTCCATAAGCGACCACCAAAAATGCCAAGAGAGGCTGATAGCATATGAGATGTAGTGAAGACCATTTTCACCAGCTGAAATACAGCAAGTTGTTTATGCGTTTATAAATCTACAATTAGGCTTAACCGTACGACAGTGCTACAAGTTTAAATGTAACCCTTTATGTCTTTAAGATCTAACAGGCCTAAAATTCACTTTGCCGGTTGAAGTGACTGTCGTTTAGTTCTGCTACCTTGTTAATGTTGCTTTTTCCTGTTTGTCTTGTGTAGGTACTGCGCTATGAAGACGAATGCAGTGCAAGTGAAGCGGGAGTACGACGTCATTGTCTAAGGTTGAAGTCAGTTCTTCGTCTCACGATTACTTGGTGGAAAGTTCCTCACAAGAAAAGAAACTCTTTGTCTGCAAAGGAGACTGATATTGTAATTATTCAATTAAATGACGCTTTTCATTGTTTAAGAATTGCATTTTGCCTTTCATACCTTGCATTAAGTCTAGTCGTGTGCACATCTGTACTCATATGTACGAAATTGTTCAGTGCCCTCGGAGGACATTAAGAATAGACGTCAATCACAATGAAAAAAAAAAATTGGAAAAGCTCTTCTACTCTACTAGAACCCTGTTTCCGAGGCCAAAGACTTTGTGGTCACCCGGCTAGAAAAGCGAACCATGATATCGTACCTTTCTGTCTCAGTCCGGATCAGGGTGATTGATCCTTTTAGCCAAATGAAACGAGAATACCGTACGATCTATGCGAATCGTATTAACTTTGTCCCATCTCAGAGCTTTACCTGATGCTCGCCGGGAAACTTTTCTCAAGGTGACCAACAACGAAATATTTATTTATTAACTGCTAAGCTAAGCGGCATCGAAACCGGCTTTAGGCGCGCACAGATTTTTGAAATAACTGTCACTTGCGTTAGAGAGAGAATTGTGGGTAGGGACGGAAAAAGACCAAGGAGGGAGGGAGGGGCGCGGGGGGGGGGGGGGGGTTAGAAAAAAATTCGGAAAATTTTTTTTTAAAAACCTTTTAAACAAACCCCCCAAAAAAAAAAAACAAAAAAAAAAAGAAAAAAA